TGGGGCCAGATGGGCACTCTAATAAACTATTGGTGGAGCAGTGAACTGTTCCAACCCTTCTGAAAAGCAAATTGGAATTACACCTAGAAAATGATTAAAATGTCCATATTCTTACCCAGAAATAGATCATTGTTAATTGTCCAGAATTTTTTTTGAGAACTATCTAGTATGCAAGGATTTCTATTAGATAATGTCTTTTTTGGTCTTTGCATTAGTTGTCAATACATTTTGCATATGCAATACAAAAATTTCCCCCCTCAAGTTCACACCTTCTTACTTTAGTTGGATTAATTTATTTGTACAAACAACTTTTTAGTTTCATATATCTGAAATGATTGGTTTTATCTTCTATGATTGCCTCTGTTATTTGGTTAATAATTTGCCCCCAGGCAGACAGTGGCATTTGATCTGGTTCTCATCTACTTTTTTTTTTTTAATAGTATGACCTTTACTATTTAGACCATGTGTCCACTTTGAGTTTATAATGATGTATGGTATAAGATACTGATCTAAAGATGGTTTGCTTTTGACAAAAATGGAACGTGAGGGAAACAGGGAGTCTGCCTTTGCAAATCACATAGTTTAATGCTTGTGTAATCACTGATTGAACAATAGTTCATCTAATTAAACATTTAAGAGGAAAATAGGAAAATTGTGTCACAGCCCACAATGGTTTTGGCATCTGCTTTCCCTTCAGATATTCCTGCATTCTCATGAAAGAAAATAAACTTTGACAAATGTTTACTTAGAGAGAAAGAGGGAGAAGCTGGTGGAGAAAGGGCAAAAGTGGTCAGGAGACCGAAGTTCTATCAACACAGGCAGCATTCGGTAGTAAAGCAATTGCTCCTAGCACCTTCTGCCAGCATTCTTTGTAGAACAAAGATTCAAGTCCTGAGTAAAATTTGATTTGCATGCCTCAGGGAATCATAAAAGAAACCTATTATGGAAAGAAGTGGATTGTAATCACATTGAGAAAATAGAGATGAGTGCATGGGGGAGGCTACTGCATGGCCAATGGCCCGTTGCAAAAGAAAACACAGTCATGTCCAAGAAAAAAGCCAAAGCAAAATTTCCAGAATGGTGCTAGCAAGTGTTTCCCAGTGGTTCTGTGAGACTGGGTTCCATCCAGCGAATCTGAGTGCTAAGCTGTCAGGAGAGAGACTCCTAAAATTCATGGAATTATAGATTTATAACTGCTGAAAGGTCACCAAATCCAATCCCTTCATTTTAAAGGTGAAGAAACAGGTTAAGTGACTTGGACAAGTGACATATGTATTTTCATACTCCAGAGGTGGGATTCAAACCCAGATACTTCAATGACAAAATTAGTACTTTCTCCACGGTCCCCATTGCCATGAATAAAATAGACGTTATTCAAAAGCCCAAGACCTAGCAAAAGCCCAAGTACAGCAACAAACTAGAACCAATATTGTCACCATTTAATCACCTTCTGGGGTCTCCAAAAAAGTACCTATCTCATGCCAAATTTGTGTATGGCCCACTCATGTCAGCTTCTTGAAGAGACAGTAATTTAAACTGTCAGGATTTACACACTGACTGTATTTACACGCTGACTATATGTTATATACTCCTTTAGAAGCCACCTGTTCTCTTTGCCAAGGTACAAACTAGGTCCCTCTCACATGCTATCTATAGCAAAACAAGAACAAAAATGAATTGTAAGGTAAAGTAGTTTTCTAAGAAAGACAGCTATACCCTGACAAACAAGGAAGTTAGTCTCTTTGCTCTTTCACTTTAAAAACAGTAAACAAATAGAAGTTTATTAAGACTTTGTGAATTACAAAATCATTACAAAATCTTGACAGATTAGAGCCAGCGAGGTGGTGCAGTATATGGAGTTCTGGGCCTGGAATCAGGAGGACTAGTTTCTGGTTTTAGATTCTTAATAGCTGTGTGATTTTGGGTAAGTCACGCCACCTCTTTCTGCCTCAGTTTTCTTATCTGTTAGATGAGGATAATAACAGCACTTACCTCCTAGATTTATTGTGAGGATAAAATGAGAGAATATTTGTAAATTACTTTGCAAACCTTAAAGTGCTACATAAATGCTAGTTGTTGTTGTAGTTGTTATTATTAGGCTAGATGGTTGGGTTGAATCTAAAAAAAATACAATTCACCAGGGATAAAAGTAAAATCTTGCATTTGAGTGCAGAAAAAATCATCTTCACAAGCGTAAGATGGAGGAGTCATAATTAGATAGCAGTTATTTAGAAAATGGCTTAGGGTTTTTTGTGACAGCTTCAAGGTTGATGTGAATCTGTAGTAAAATGCAAAATCCAAAAAAGCTGGTATGATGTTGGTCTGCATTAGAGGGATATCTAACTTCCAGAAATAGGTCCGTGAGAGTTCCCCACTGTACTCTGCCCTCATAATTAATAACTCTTCTGGAGTACTACATTCAGTTCTGGAAACCGTAAATAGCTTAAGAAGTACATTGATATATGAAGAATCTTAAGAGGAAGACAACCAGGATGGCTAAGAGACTTAAATCTTTGTCATAACAGGATCAGTTACAGGAACCAGTGATGTTTAGCCTTAAGAAGAGAAGACCCATAGGGGTTGCGGGGGAAGGTATGATAGATAACATTATATATATATATATTTTATATCCTGTCATATGAAGGAGTTTCTGTTTGGACTTACAGGGTAGAACCAGGAGCAAAGAATGGAAGTTATTACCAAGAGACAAATTTAAGTTCAATATCAGGGGGGAAAACAAGTAAAAAAAAAAAAGGAGCAGCAGCAATAACAGTAACAACAACAACTTCCTAACATTTAGAGCTATCCCAAAGTGGAGTGGGCTACCTAGGGATGTGATGGGTTCCCCCTTCATGGAAATCTTCAAACAGATGTTGGACTCTTATTTGTTATGTGTGGCATATTGAGTATTACTTCTGCATATGGACTGGACTATATGGCTGGTGAGGTGGGTTCTAACTCTCAAATTCAATAAATTAAATGTCATTAAATGTCAGAACCCTAGACTAGATATCCAGATCTGAACACAAAACTCCAGATGATGTCTAATGAAGGAAAATACAGTAGCACTTTTATCTCTCTACTCCCAGATGCCCCTCCTAATGGAACCCAAGATTTCATTACTCAACTCATGTTGAACTTGCACTAACAACACAAGATAATTTTCAGAACAATTCTACATATCTTTTCCCATTTTGGACGTGTGAAATTGATTTTTGGTACACAAGTGCCAAGATTTTGAATTTATTGAACTTATTTTTTATTGAATTTCATCTTATTAGATCCAAAGCAATGCATCCTGTCATGATCCTAGCTCTGTCATCCACTGCGTTACTTATCCCTCCCAGGTTGTGTCATCTGAAAATTTGATGAGCATACTATCTATGCCTTTATCAAAGTCATTTAAAATGTTAAGCATCACTGGGCCAACCACAGAACTATTATTCTACTGGAACCTTCTGTCACAGCTAATGCTGTTAGCACCTTCTCTTCAATTGGTGGTCAAAGAACTTTCTAAAGCACTGACAGGTAAATAGTATGTGTCTACTGGGCAGAATACTAAGCTCATTAACAAAAGTCAGTGAAAGAAGAAACTGACTTAGACCAGGAAATAAGCTGGTTTAAACTGTCCTTTTTGCCTGATAAAAACCACAGGCATTTGAAAAGAAAATTGGATATATCTATGTCCCTTTTTCTTTCCCTAGAAAACAAAAATGTGAACTATGCTTCTCTATATATTTTTCTATAGTTTGTCTTTTTATTGAAATTGTGTTTTTGGGTTTTTTTTGCTTTTTGGTGAGGCAATCGGGGTACAGTGACTTGCCCAGAGTCACACAGCTAATAAGTGTCAAGTGTCTGAGGCTGGATTTGAACTCAGGTCCTCCTGACTCCAAGGCCAGAGCTCTATCCACTTTGCTACCTAGCTGCCCCTGAACTTGTTTTTAAATTTTAGTTTCAGGTTAAGTAACAGCTAGTATTTTCTTTGATGAACACACCTTCTTCATATATAATGCTATTTCATCCTTCCCTCACTACCCACCCCTTTTACCTAACCTATTTCTTTTGAATAAGGTATATCCACCCAGAGTTATAAATCAGTCATGGGTTGCATTGCAACATTTCTCATTGATGCCATCGAGGTTGTTTGCCTTCTTGTGTTTGGACTTTCTTGCTTCTTGTCCAGATTTTGGGCATTAGTGTTTAGACAACTCAGGATGTGGGTTTTTACTACTGGTTTTTTTCTTGGATTTTGCCTTCTGTAAATGTTAGAACATAGGGCAGAGCATGTTAGACCATAGAATATAGAATATTAGAGCCAGACAAAACCCTTGAGCATAGATGTTGAGCAGCTAGGTGGTGCAGTGGAAAGAGTACTGGGCCTGAAATAAGGAAGAGTCATCTTGAGTTCAACATTGATATAGATTAAAACAGCACAGTCGAACATTACCAGTCACTCTTTATTCCAATTAGTCCCATTAGTTCTGTCCCTATCTGATTGTATTGTTGTCTAATTCACATTTTTCCATTTTCACAAGAATGCCGTGAGCTATCTTATCAAAAGGATTGCTAAATTCTATACAAACTATATCCATATCATTTCCCTCAACCACTACTTTAGTAATATTTCCAAAAAAAGGAAATGAGATTAGTCTGACATGACCTGTTCCTGGTGAAGCCATGATAGTTCCTTGGAATGGCAGCTTCCCTGTATAGTTGTTAATCAACATCATTTGTTCTAGAATTTTCTCTGGATTCAAAGTCAAGTTCACTGACCTAATTTGCACACTCTTTTCTCTTTCCTTTTTTTGAAAATTGTGACATTTTCCTTTCCACAATCTCCTTTTGCCTCCTCTGTTTTCCATGATCATTCAAATATTATTGAGTGACTCATCAATCCCTTCCTGCATTTCTTCCAGCATCTGAGCATACAGTTCATCTGGATCAGATGACTTAAATTCTTCAAGGACATTTGGTGCTCTCTTAAACCCTCCTTAGTTTTCTTGGCTATCAACTGCTTGGTGGTCATTTTTGTTCTGTAATCTCTAGTTTAAAAGGATTCTCATCTGTGGAGGAAAGCAAAACAAAATGACAAACAGTCCAGCCTTCCTTCTGTTATCACACATCATCATCACATCCTTTTTGAGTGAGACCCTATTCAGTCTTTGTTTCTTTTCTCTAGTTTAAAAAAAAAGTTAAAAAGTCCCCTTATTCTGTCCTGACCTCACCATGCTCAGCTCATTCTGAGTTTTGGAGCTCTCAGCATTGTTTTTTTATAGGACCACATCACACTGTTAAATTCACTCTCTATTATCTAACCTTGTTTCTAGCTTCCATATATTTCTTTTTAAAATTTAAGTTAGTTGGTGGGTTTCCATGCAGTCACAGTGGTCTCTTCAGACAAATCCCATTTTCTCTTGGTTTCTTCGGAAACCCATTCTCAAACATTTCCCATTCCTCTTAAGGTGATTTCCCTTAAAATATTTTAGTCCACAAGAGCTCATCTATTTTTCTTTTGAACCCTTTGAAATTTACTTTTCCCAATGCCAACACTATGTCCAGCTTTCGTCTTCTCTATCCTAATCTCTAGCACAGAGAATTCACTTGCCTCCAAAGTTCCTATCATTTTCACTTCAACATACAGTTCCTGTTAGTAAGAGTCAGATCTAGAATAGAATCCACCTTATTGATTCCTTCATTTCTTATAGGAATCAATAAAGGGGAGTTCTGTTCTAAAATTTTGCAGGAAGGAATTTCCTTTTGTAGGAAGGAATTTTCACCAAGGCAAATAAAGACATTATTTGCTGCTTTGTTTTTAACAAAGAGTGAGTGAGCTCCAGCAGACGTTTGGATAATTGCAATCCCCATCATTACTCTATCATGTCTCTCTGCTTCCCAAACTTCTCATCTATTTTTTATTTCTATCCAATGACAAAATCCCTTCTGTTTCTCCCTCCTTTGTACTTTACTTAAATCATCTCTGCCATGCTTCACTACCTGCTCCTTCCTCTTCTCTCCTGTATTTCCTCACACGCGTATATAGAGAGGGACTCTAGCTGCAATTTCATTGATATAACGATCTTCCAAGTGAGGAAACTCCTCTACAGATGCCATTAGCACCTTCTCTTCAATTAGTGGTCAAAGAGAGCTTCCTAAAGCACTGACAGGTAAGTAGTATGTGTCTACTGGGCAGAATACTAAATTCATTAGCAAAAACCAATGAAAGAAGAAAGTGACTTAGACCAGGAAATAAGCTGGTTTAAACTGTCCTTTTTGCCTGATAAAAACCATTTGCATTTGAAAAGAAAATTAGATATATCCATTTCCCTTCTTCCTGCCCCAGAGAAAAAAAATGTGAACTATGCTTATATATATTTTTTCTGTAGTTTGCCTTTTTATTGAACTTATTTTTAAAGTTTAGTTTCAGGTCAAGTAATAGCTAGTATTTTCTCTAATGAGCATACCTTCTTCATATATACCTCATCCTTTCCTCACCACCCACCCCTTTTACTTAATCTATTTTTTTTTTGAATAAGGTATATCCACCCAGAGTTATAAATCAGTCATGGTTCACATTACAACATTTCTCATTGACACCATTGTTGGCCCTTCTTGTGTTTGGACTTCTGATTCCTCTTGTTTCTTGTCTAGACAGGGTATTTGTGTTTAGACAATTTAGGACCTGGGTTTTTACTACTGGCTTTTTTCTTGGATTTTGTCTCCTGTGAAAATTAGAACCTAGACCAGAGCATGTTAGAATGTGCAAAATAGAATGTTAGTGCAAGACAAAACCCTTGACCATGGATGTTGGGCAGCTAGGTGGTACAGTGGATAGAGTGCCAGAGAGTCACAGAGAGTCAGACATGACTGAAATAACATAGAATATTAGAGCAAGAGAGGGTCTTGTATAAGACCTAGAGAGGGAATTCAACTTGCCTTTGATTGTGTACTTCATGAATGACCAAAGCTTGACCCTAGACCTTCTGCCTTTCATTCTGATGCTTTTTCCACTATATCGTACATTCTCATAATGCATTGTTATCAATTTCTAATTTAGCATACTTATTGTACTTGTCAAGTGTTTTTATTTTGTTTCATGAACTATACTGCAAGGTCTGAGTAGTCAGGGATTCTGTCTTAAGTTTCCTTTCAACACACCTTGTGCCTAGCACAGAGCTTTGCATGCAAACCAAATTTTGCTCAGGATTCATTGTCCTACAAAGAATATTGACAAAAAGTTGAAGGGGAGAAGTTACTTCATTTTCACATTCTAAACATTTAATAAATGCTTGTATATTTACCAAATTCATATTTCTCAGTCTTCTAATCAACTCCCACCCATAATTTGGACTTTTTAAAAATTAATTCAACTTTTTATCTCCTAGTCCTCCAAGCATGTGGGCAGCTAGGTGGTACAGTGAATAAAGTGTCAGGCCTGGAGTTAGGAAGATTCATCTTCTGAGTTCATATCTGGCCTCCCATGCTTACTGGCTGTGTGACCCTGGGCAAGTCACTTCACCCTGTTTGTCTCAGTTTCCTCATCTGTAAAATGAGCTGGAGAAGGAAATGGCAAACCACTCCAGTATCTTTGCCAAGAAAACACCATATGAGGTCATGAAGAGTCAGAAATGACTGAAACAACTAAAAAAAATCACTCCAAACATAAACCCTCAACTTGTGTCCTTACTCTCTGCACCATTCCAGTCACATACCACTCTCATTCCTGGCCCCAAATCTGAAATATCCTCATCTCTTCTCTGTGCCTTTCCAAATTCACCTACCTTTCAAGGCCCCACTTAAGTTATAGATTCTCCATGAAGTTTATCCTCAATTCACAAACAGACAAAACTATGTGACTTGGAGTCATAGGACCAGATTCAAATCCTCTCTCTTACATTTACTAGTTATGAACCATGAGCAAGTAACAAACTCTATGTATCTCAGTTTCATCACATGTGCAATGATAGACTGGAGACAATGGTTATCTCTAAGCTGCCTTCAATCTCTAAATCTAAATCTAAAGTCCTGTGATTTAACTACAGTTATCAAGGACATTTATCTTATCTGACTTCCTGTAGCATTTATTATTCCTGCGTTCCATTATTTATTATTTTGTAATGTTTTTTGTGAGTTGCCATGGCCAAACATAATCTATCACCTCATGTCCAATCAATGACAAGTACTTCTGCACTTAGCTTAGTTAGTCTTTAGACAATATATACATTGCACATTGTCAAGCCCATGTTTGAAGTCTTTCCAACAGAAAGAACCTGCCTGCACTTGTAATATGTGGGCTTAGCCTTTGAGAACTGTGAGTCACTTATAACACATGATGCATCAGAGAGGAAATTGGTTGTGCAAAACCTTTCTCTCCAAGGCTATTGAAACCAGAGTCAATATCTTCTACTTAATATATAATGAAAATCATGATAAAAATAATGATGATTATATTAATAATGATAATAATAATGTGCCTACACTATATCATAGCACATTTAGAAACAGAGTTTATCAATCATATGTAAGGGTTTTATATTATTTTTTGTGAACAGTATCTTAAGTCCTTAGTCACACAGCACTGTACTGGTAAAAACATTCAGGATAATCATCAGAAATAACTTCACCCTCAAGCCTAGATCCTATGCAAAAAGACATCAAATCAAGAAATACTAAAATCTGAAAGGGAGAAAGATTTTTAAAAACCTAGGAAGGATTGAAAATCAGCATAACTCAAATTCTAGGAGTCATCCCTAATCATGAAATGGATGACAAAAATAATCCTAATGCTTCAAATGCTTTAATGAGGAGATGGGCTTACTTGGGCTAGAATTTTGCAAAAGTCTTTTTGAATTTGAGGGAGCAAATCCAACTAATAAATAAATTACACCAATACAGAGTAATCAAAAATGCTAGTATCTTCCATAACTATCATGAATAAACACATTCTCTCACAATATTTGATGAAAATTTTAAAACATTTAAGGACCTGAACTATATATATATATATTATAAATGCAAACATATATATATATATATATATACACATGTGTATATATATATGTGTGTGTGTATATATATATGTATATGAACCATTATTATCTTAAGAAGCATATGAGCCAAGGTGAAGTTATTAAGAAATACTCCTAAGGATAGGTGTCAAACATCATTACAGAGGAAGCAAATTGAGAGAGCTCAACAAAAAAATGCAACATGGAACTACTATTGTATACTATTGTATGTCTGAAATTTTAGATTACTTAAGTCAACAATAGAAAGCAAAATGCAGAATGTTAAAGAGATAAAAGGATTCAATATAGTGGAAAGAACAATTTTTTTTAAATCAACAATAATTAAACATTTCCCTATAGAAACAGAAGAAACAAAGACATCAGAGGAGAGAGTGAACCCATGAAAAAGGAGGATGTGGAAAATTTCTGATCATCTATATGGTCAGACAATTTTTATTTCATTTGAAGAAACAATAAAAGGAGGTTCTTGAATCAAGCTTTCTTGTGAATTAAAGCAGTGAGGCTAGATAATATCCATAATTGTTGGCTTCACAGCGGTGCATGGATTACTGACAACACCTAAGTTTCCTCCTAGATATAAATCTGACTAAATCTACATTTTTTTTTTTTTTTGGCAAGGCAATTGGGGTTAAGTGACTTGCCCAGGGTCACACAGCTAGTAAGTGTCAAGTGTCTGAGGCCAGATTTGATCTCAGATTCTCCTGACTCCAAGGCCTGAGCTCTATCCACGGCGCCACCTAGCTGCCCCTAAATCTACATTTCTTAAAGAAGAAATTTCATACTGTCGACCCAGAGATGAACATGTCAGTGAGCCTTCCAAATATAGGCCAATTAATGTTTATGTGTTTTGTACAAAAGGTTCAGGGTTTTTTAAATCTATAAATAAAAGAAAAACACTATGTTGGCTAAAGAACAAAATATATGTACCAAAAAATTTCCAGGGGTATAAAGATCAACTTGTGATCAGTTCTATAATTGAACAAGTTGCTCTAAAGTATCTACACTTCCTTTATTATTGCCATGTCTTTGACTTGATT